ATGGTGAGTGAATTTGTATGAGTCACTGTGAAACTGCCTTGATCCATCCCGGACCTATCACATTAAAGTGTTTGCCCTGGTTTATGTCCAAGTTGTTTAGAAATTGGAATCTGGCCGAGGTGCGCTATACAACGGGTTGTTTATGCATTTTAAAAGTGGATTGAATCAGTGGCATATCACTGTTATTCCCACACGTGGACGTTGATGCTATATAACTGGCGCCTACGTGTTGGGGTCATATAGTCAATTATCATACTTGTGAGACGTCCATTAGTGTAGGTGATTGAAGATGATTCCTAACATGTGATAACAACTATTTTTAGTATTGACTACTTCTGGTGATGGAAACCTTGGCACATCTAATCGTGTAAACAAATCAAAGTTGATTCCTGTCTTACTTGTTTTACTTGTCTGAATACATTACATTTAGATATCACAGTATGATTAAATAGATTGAAAACTACAATTTTATTCTGCTTTCTTCACATTTTATGGAGTATTTATGTTACACATTTGAAAACCCATTCACACAAGCAAGAATTAAAACACAATATCAATAGACAAATTAAAAGAAATATATACCTTCAAATAACAAATAATTATACCCTCAATTACATGACAACTACTGGTCCCGGAAATCAAATAACTCTCTAATAACCATCTAAAAGTGTACCGTTATTAATCTGTACTGTTATTTTAAAACGTTGTGACTTTCCCCTATTTGTCTGCATAAATTATCATATTACTTTCTGAATCTTCCCCCAATCCCATATGATGCTGTATATTCCTTTGTGTGTATAATTTTTCACTGGGTAACCAATTTCGTTGATAATTTGTTTTTCTTGATATATCTTTGTAGGAAGTTTCTTGTTGATGCTGCCCCTTGCTGCAAATAAATATAAAAAGGTTATTCTCATAGTATTAGCATTTCCATATCATGACAAGTACTCCATTGATACACACATCTGTTATGTCACCAATGTGTCAACGTTTGGCTCACCTTAATGGCAAATTCTTTATCACCTGATTCCATGTCCACGTCTAGGGTTCCAAGGTAGTCAACATCAATAGCAATAGTGCGACCAATGTCTTTCTTCTGTGAATACCAAAAAGAAAATGGACAGGTTAAATATCATACATACATTTTGGTCAATATTGTGTATGTTTTATTATGAATGTTGGCTGTCAATATGACATATGCATACACTATTCTATTCGAAGTACATTGGAAAATGTTTTTTACTATGCAATGAATGGTTGATCACAACTTGCAGGCATACATTGACCTGCAATTACGATGTAGAAACAGAGTAAAAATTACATTTCCTTATTTTTTCTAAGGGTTCATACAACTAACACTATGTGACACAACATTCCATGAACGCTGTTTAGGCATAACTTTAACTTGTTACGTTAAAGACACATACTTAAAAAGTATAAACCTTAGTCTGGCCAATTTTAAAAATGACTACATGCGCTATGAGGCCATCGCAACAACATTGTATAGAAACAAGCTTTAATAATCCAATTGTACAATATACAAAAATTCAGTTTACGCTTTTTGGCATTTTACTGGCGAGTCTCGTCCAACCGCACACACATTTGCGCATGGATGTAACCAATCTGTGTTGTGCACTCAAATAAAGAAGTGGGTAAGAAAAATACACATAACTTATATAACCTATGCCCTTTCTCACCGTATAATGAAGTCGTTTGAGATTCACCGTCATTGTTGTAATTAATGTACTTATGAATTCTCCGACATTGGATATTGCTACACGGTCATAGCTAATAAAGTTGCTGTACAAGTCTATCCCTCTGCGTTCGGCAAATTGCAACAATTCTACCATGTCAATCTGCAATTAAGAAAATTCAAATTGAGAACATCAATATGAAAAATCTGAAACCAGGGTAATTTTACTGTTTCTTTAAATCTATGTAGTTTTCTTTATATGCCTTGTTATTACGGGCCCGTGCGTTTTTTTAATAAGGTAACCCGTATTTGTGACGTCATGAACAAGTTTTGGCCTTATGATTAACACTCGTTGAGACTCGCTGCGGTGAATGGTGCGTCCAACGACGTCACGCCACCGCGGGCGCAAGAGGAAAGCTCTTAACAGAGGGAAAAGATGTCAGAAGCGGGATTGCATTGGAAACGTGAACACGAACGTGTTTTGGAAAGCATTGGCGTACACAAATCTAGAAAAGTTGAGTTGTAGTACGAAGTTTATGTTATTCCCGTACGTACCGCGAAGCAATCAAAGTGACTGTCGAACCTGCGCTGCAACAGCTTTGATGACACCCAGCGTTTGACTGTGTCGTCGATGATCGAATTGATGCGACTCAGGGACTGATCGATAAGCGGTGAGTGATCTTTTGCAACGTGGGGCTCGGGGAACTTGACATAGATCGTGGAGCCTAGAATCTTCGGAAGTAGTTGTAACTCTCTGAGAGTGGCCGTGTTTCCTGGCGACACCATTGCGTCATCGCTAACTATAATTGCCTCGTGGTCAGTGGTACAGAACGTTGTGAACCGGTTGACGATTTTTGACATCGTACCATATTTTCTCCGCTAGGATTACCCTTATAATCACTTTTGTCGTTTTGTGCGTGTTTGTCTGTGTGTGTGATTTCTAGTGTTTTCACAAATTATTTCCTCTGTGATTTTTTTGGCTTGGCCGATTTCTCTCAAACTTGGCAGCTAGGTCACACCTTCACCCTAGTTATTAGGAAAAATCTGGAAAAAAAATTGTGGTCCACCGTTGCCATAGCAACAGCCAAAAAAATGATTTTCGGATAGCTTCGCGCCAAAGGTATCTCGTCCTACAAATTTAGGATAAAACACTACTGACATAACTCATTCTACTCAGCTTGAGTGTGGAAACAAAGTTACTATTTGAATTGTTGATGTCTTTTTTCATTACCGAGAAATTTTACCCCAAAGTTGGGGTAACTTTTCACCAGCAACGGCTTTTAACTCCTCTGTGATATTTTCGGCTCGGCTGATTTTGTTCATACTTCACAGGTAGGTCGTACCGTCACCTGACTAATTGGAAAAAAAATCCTGGCCCACCACTGCCATTGCAACATCCAAAAACTAATTTTTGAATACTTTCGCCCCAAATGTGTTAAAAATGTCCTAACAGTTTTGTAATAGCAGTGTTCAAATGATCATGCTTTTTATTTTGGCTAGGTAGCGCACTGGTAAAAGATCACCGACGCCGACATTGTTACATTGTATCAACGTAATCCCAACGCAACTTTGAACTTTGTATGAACTGTAAAGGCTGCCTTCATTCTAGAAAATACTATCGCAAAACGGTTGGAAATAATAAATGTAACAGCAGAATACGTCCTAGTGATAAACTGAGTAACTTCTAAAGACTGAATGGCTTTTGCGAACTTCGTATAGGGCCCATTCAGTTATAAACGGACGTTAGCTTCACGTTTATGTCACACCTTCGAAACAGCCAAAAACATGTTGCTTGTTTTTGAGCGAAGCGGATCACCAACCAGCCTACTGGCTTGTTGTAGTATGAATCATTTAATGAGAACTGACGATAGTGGTGAAGCTATTGTGTTCTCGCTGTAAATTTTACAAAATAATTAGTGGATGGCGTGAGTCTGTTCTGCCCCAGTAATTTGGTTGGGAGTGACATGACCCTGCAATTGTTCGTGTTTTTGGTGGTTTGAATATAGCTTAGAAAGCATTGCTGTGTAATTTTCAGCTTTGCTTTGAATAGCAGTACTTTTGGACGCTACCATTTTTGGGGCGGGGCATAGCATAGACTCAACTTTCCTCTTCTTGTTTATTTTTCTGTGAAGCACATATTTTGTAATGTTCAGAAACTGCCGTTTTACTTAGACATGCTGTTGCTATGCCATTCTTATATTTTATGAATTATTAGTTTAAATATTTAATTTCTTTAATATTTACATTAGTATTTTATTTATCTTTATTTGTCTCTAGGCGGTATTAATGCCTGTACGCGCCTCACCACGCCAAATTGGTTAGCCCAAGATTCGGATACGATTATATTTTTTATGAAATCGAGAGATTCGCACCGGAGCCCAATTCCGGTTATCCACGTCCTCCATTGTGCGTAAAACGAATTATCTTGCGATGGACTTAGTGCGAGAAATATCCGAGTTTCAAATCTAAATCGTATTGTCCCATATTTCAGTTTTCTGTAAACATATATTGTCGTAGTTACATATTTAGTAACTACCAAAGAATGTCCTAATCGTACTTACAATTCTCTTTTTTCACAATTTGTGGAATAAGATGTCATACTTCAGTTTGACCAGTTTTATGAAACTGTGAAATACTGGATCGTTTATTTCAATCATTAAATAGCCTAGTCATTAACAATTTATGAATTAAATATCCACTTAACCACATCACCACTTAAAAAAGGGTTCTGGTTCTATTAATTGTTCCCTTTTTTCCGTATGCCACCGTATGTATGTCGCCTTATTGCTGAATTATTAAGTTTTATAAACTATATGTAATATGGTGCTATTCTCAATGTTGTACAATTTTTGCAAAATATAATGTAACTATATGAATAAAATATAACTCAAGAAAGAACCGCGACGAGATTAATCTCCTCAGCTGACTTTTCGATTACCAATGTGTAATTTTACAACCCAGGTTTTTATAAAGACGTACTTTTCAGCCAAAATGTTCGCTGAAACTGCTGAACTGAAGAATCTAGAATGGATGCATTGGCATTAGATTGATCGATAAAAATATAATCTCATACCAATTCATTTTCCGAACAGAACTAATTCCATTCTCTAATCATCCCAAATGTGAGCTTAGTCACACAGAAGCTTTGATGCGGTTGATGATTGCCCATAACTGAACTGTTGTGTTTTCCGTAAGCCCTCGTGATGATTCAAACGTCATGGCCATGTTTTTGTGAACACATATCCACCCAATGGTAAAAAACATGATTCTATGTGTTCTGGTGAATCAAAAATAAGATCGACATTTCCTGAATGACAATCCTGGGCCCCTAAAAAATTTCCCTTAAATCACAAGAGTGGCAAAAAAGTGGTTTACCGATTGGACTACCAACAGGTGGTCGTTAGGGATAGGTAATATGGTCATTCATTCCACACATCTACAAATATAGTATAATGACTGAACTAAACAATAATTGAAATAAATAGCCCAATAATTCATGGGTTCATTGGTTGTTATATTTTGGGATATAAATAAAATAATGGTTAGAGTATACAAAATATGTAATAAATAAAAAAAAATTATATACTCACCTTTCCATCATGATTTCTGTCCAAGTCAGCAAAAACGTGTTCAAAAGTATAATCATCACCAAATAATAGCTTGGCATCCTCCTTTGTAAAAGTCTTACTCTTAAAAACAATAAAAATATTATAAAGGTATAAAACAAATGTTATTCGTCTGATAGAAATAACAAACACATGTAAAATAATATCTTACATCACTCAATAGTTTCTTCATCTCTCCTTTGTCGACAGTGGCGCTCTTATCTAGGTCATTTTCATCTATAGCTTGTAAGAATTTACTGAAGGCTGTGGCTATCTTTGTGAATTCTCCTTCTATTTTCTCAGTCTCCTGCTCAGATTCAGTTTTTTTCCTGTAATATATTAAATGTTGGCAATGTGCTTCAAAATGAACAAATCAGCAAAGATACACACGATACAGGTAAGTTAACCTCCATATAAACAACACACATATATTTCTATTGTGCACCAACAAAAAAGGTTCGTAATTAAAATGCCTTAATAACCGCTTTAAACTATAGATCAAAGCAATATCAATGTTGTGAATGGCATGCATTTCACTCATTCAATTTACATACCCGCTGTGGGTGTGTACTTGCAAAATTATATTATGTTATCAAAAGTAGTGTTCATACTTCCCATAGTTCCTGCCATTTATACTAGAGTGCGTTTACCTGGCTAACTTTGTGTCTGGTCTTTCTACATGCATCGATTCACCGGCAGTCATGAGCTCTTCATATAACTCTGGGTCAGTGTCGCAATACTGCATTAAATAAAACTAGAAATCTAACTTGTTCTGTTTATATAACTTTCTGTTTATATATAAATTGGTTTCATAGATTTAGTCACATGCATATGTTATTAGAGTCAATCGCAGAAAAAGATATTATTTAGTCACATATCGTTTCTTCAGATATTATAGATATTATAGATAGATATTATTAGTAAATATATATATATATATATATATATATATATATATATATATATATATATATATATATATATATATATATATATATATATATATATATATGTCAATAAATATAATGACTAACCAGAAAATATTTCCATGACATGAATAAGAGGCAAAAAACCAGCAAAATTAAGACCTATTAAATTACCGTCAAGACGCCAAGTGTACGAGGATTGTGTTTTCCAAATCGCTCTTCTTGTTTCCACAGTTTGAATAAGTCTTTCAATGGTTGTATACGGGCAAGAAAACTGTCCTCTTTCTTCATAGACAGCCACCAACCTTGGTTAAAAACAGAATTGTTTAAGTATCGCTGTATTTAGGATGGCGCTCTGGTTATGGTGGTATTTGACTGTATATTATAATATATATTTGTTGGATAAATATCAATGTTATGAACGCAAATTTCTGAATAGTTATAATACTGACATGCCATTTGGGTACATGCAGCGAGAAAGAGCGAGAACCTACGAACTAAAATTACAACCGTTTTACTTTGTTACCTTTTAAAGCATTTAACATTTTAATCAAGTGAACGAGCTAGCGTTATTATAAATAGTGTTAATTTCTGGTTACAAAGTTGTATGTGAAATCTATCCAAAACGATCATTAAATTACAAAAAAAGTGTTTCTCAGAAGCTTTTCCGCTTTGTTGTGCAAATATAGAATTCCAATAAATATTTAGCCGTGAATACAGAATACTCACCATCATAACAGTGCAAGGGTAAATTCGCCAATACACCGCCGTCTACGCACGTGTCTATGTTGTCGCCATTCTTTAATTCGACAGCTTTGAAAACACCTGATATTGGAACATAACGATATATATCAATTACAAGAAATCAGCGTGACACATGTATTTGTTTTGTTTTTCATCAAAACTGTTCTAAAAGTCGTCTCCTCTGCGAAGGCGCATATGTGACTAAAAAATAGGTCAGATTCGTTCGAAACTTTGCTGAATTGTTGTCACATAATTCAAACTGTATGTATGCAATTGCCATTCATTTGATTCAAGTGATCTCTATAAACCAAAATTAAAGCGGCAATAGCTATAACTATCCATCTTTTTCTTCGATTTTTATTTTAAATAAAAGTATATATTTGTACGGACACTGAAAGCATAACATATACGTTATATACCGACGTTTAACATTAAATTACGCTAAAAAAAGATGGCCGCTAGTTTGCGACAAGATCACCGGAGGGCGTCATGTATTGAAATCCACTTTTAATAAAACGAACCACAGGGATTACAAGTTGCCAGGAACCCTGGACAAAATCATGTCAAATACGTCGCCATTTTATGAGTCTAAGCCCGTCTCTCTGGTGTGTAAATTGTTATAAGCTTTCTATGGTCCCCATAATGTGACTGATTTCAACAATTTAGACTATGCAAATATAGTTTTCACATCGCCCCGCGTAGGGAAAGTTTTGCCCATGCAATTATGTCTAAAACCAATTTCAGTGAAATTTAGTCATTTCTATGTGGTTGTATTTAGATAGAAAAAAATGTAAATCACAGCTATTGCCACTTTAACAAGTAAATTAAGGAATTTGTACTTATATTATTACAAATAAGTTTGGTAATTATTGGTTGCCTCATTTATTGTTCACTTCATGATTCATGACTAGATTGTACTGGGTGGGTTGGTATCACGAAATTGTCAAAACTCCAAAACTGTTTTTGTTTTTGTTTTTGTACAAGCTCGCACGTTAATTGTGACAAATTCGTGATATCACTATAAGCAGGGTGCGCATCGATCTACACGTCGCTCAATACAATAGCCCTATTGTCGTTGCACATATTTGGCATAATATTATAATAATTATCACTTGCCTGGGATTGACATTGACATTCTGACTGCCAACCTCACTGGCATATTGGGTGTGGTTTTCATGTGGCAATACTCGGCATCCATCCTGTTTACATTACATATCACAACACACAATTCCTTACCAAATTTGTCAAACAACTGAAATGTTATAAATGAAGACATTTAAATACGTACAGGTCGTTCGTCGTAATTTGGAAAACAGAGCACCACCGACAATTACCTACCAATAACTGGCTCACATAAAAGCACCTTTGAATTGACGAACTAATATTAACTACATATGTTATTGAAGTCACACGCATATATTTGAATAATTTGATACACAAACAAACCAATGTGTGAGAGCACGGGAAATCCACATGTTACATCGGAATTTACTAAATAAAGCTATTTGTATTATCTATAGTATTTACAGTAAAACAAAGGACACAATTCTTTTGCCATTGATTGACGCAGACTAAACTACATTTGATTCTTCTATGGTTTGAATTTCACTTACCTCTTTGAAGGTTATGTCTTTGTTACCGGTTTTGGCTTCAAATTTTGCCCCAAACCATTCTAGTAGCTTCTCACCGGGGTTCCATCCATACCCTCGAATGATATTTGGAATGAGACTCAGATAGCCGTAACCATGGTCTGGATGGGCGAAAGTAAAACAATTTACATTCATCGTTACAACTCAAATAGCCAGGCAAATAATTTTAATCAACGAGGGATATGTGTACTACAGTTCAGGAATTACTTCGGGAAATTGCCTAAATGAACGAAAGACAAATATTATAATAATCATACATAACAATGAGAGTAATTTAAAATAGTTGTGTAAGAATGGTTTGAAGTGATTAAAAACAAAGAATCACAAAATATCACAATCATCAGCATTAACATCAATATTTGAGATTCAATGACCGCTCTCCAGAAAGTAAAAGTGATGTATGAATTAGAATATGACATGTTTATGAACTCATTGGATTATGATTTATCAAAAATAAAATACTATGACAGCATTACAACTAAGTTTTTCATTTGCCATACTCGCATTTCCCATTCATACATACAGTAAAAATCCGCGCATATGCGTAATTTGTGTGTTTCAAAAATCCAATCCAATATATCTTCACGAATAGCCATGCACAATCACTGGGAATATACGTATCGAGGGTTATCGAAACTAATGACATAATAATATTCAATTTTATATAAACGTGCATCATTGATGCTCGAATTCGAATATTTTGTTTTTGCGTTTATAATATGGCATATTATGTGCGATTACTGATTACATCAAATTACATCTTCCTAATCTTTATTCTAGCAAAACGTTTCTATGACTCCCATTTAATAAATGTGTCAACTAAAACTAGGATGTCACGGAAATTTCATGGAAAGCAAAAATGTCTTTTAACTTTTAACACACTACTAACAAATGAGAAAACTAACGCCCTTCAACTTGATCTTTGACATATGCTGTGAGATGACTCAGTCAATTTGTATCAAAATATATACATAACATACGCACTCATTACCGATTAATTATTCAATCAACATCCTGGCTCAGAAAATACTAGTATTGATTTCGTTCAAACAATAAACAAAATACTCACCCAGTGTGACATGAGGTAATTCCTGGTCCATGAGAATGGACGCTTCATCAGGATGATAACCCATAGCCAGCATGGCAGCAAACATAGCCCCCATGCTTGTACCAGCAAATCGTTTTATTTTTGGCCACATACCGATGTTCATCAAAACCTTCAAAAAATAAACGTCACGTAAACTAACGCCCCCTCCTTTGACATGCCTTGCAATTAACATAGTTACAACACAGAAATATGATTATGTGAATCGTATCGTATTTACATGATTTGACCTTAATTATACCGACTATACCAAATGATATTTAGTATACTAATACTAATAAATCTTCATACATATAATTAATAGAAACAAGTAAAACAAGCTTTAGCCTAAAAAGTTATATAGACATAGGCGATATCGAATGGTATTGTGTCATTCAAATATTAAGTCATGTGGCATGGCTCACGGGGACACTCATAATACATTTTATTTTTACAATATGGAAGATCCGGTTCATTTCATAACAAAATACAAAATGCAGAGCAGATACTGAACAAAATACAAAATTCGGAACAGAGACACTGACACATTCTGCATAGCGCTGCTAATCAACGATTGCTGGATGGTATTGTTAAATCGAGTTCAACATTTTGACATGTCCCAATTTATGACGGAAATAAAACAAACAAAAGCACCGAAATATTCAACACTTGAGGGCTTATACAAATAATGTTTTTATTTATTTAGTTTAGGGCGCAGTTCACATGCCACAATGTTCTAGAATATTCGTTAAAATCACACATTTAATGCCAAAAGTCATGCAACAATTTAATAGCCAGCCTGTTGGATTAAGTCAATATAATGATACAGAATTGTTAACTACAAGCATTAGACTGACTTCGCCATTTAATACACATCTACAGTATTTACAAACATGCAATTACATATTTGGTTATTATAACAGATTTCTCCAATTGAAATCCCCAACTGTATGTGAATCTATCATTTGCCATAATGATGCAAATTCTAATCTTGCCTACTCTGATTTCCTAGACATTTTATTGAACTCACCTTAAATTAAAAAGGGAGCCTGGATGGTCAAAATTAGCTAATCAGTCCCTCGTGATAAAAGTCTCATGCTACATATGTAATCGTCGACCCCCCAAATATTTCAATCAGAAAAGCCTCCAAACCGTAAAATGTATTAGACTAATTATATAAGTAAGATAAAATATACGCTCGAAAAGCAACATTATCAGAACTCGCTGCAAGGTGGCGCTATTTTTATTTACGCTCCAAATTACCCAAAATCAACAGGTGACAGCTCGCCGTTCAAAATACAACTAATTGAAAGCAGCTGGTTTTATTCATACGGATTTCGCTAATCCCTCAGAAATAATGAATAATGAATTGAACACAATTCGAGCTTTAGAGTCATCCACATTATCCGCAAATCGAATGAAAATTATTTCACCTCGCTATTTATAGTAGCCAGATATTTATATTATTTAACGATATTAAGAGATCCTCTAAAATGGTTAATATTGTTTGATCTCAACTCAATTAACTCAATTTCAAAATAGCAATGGATTAAGACATAACTAATGTTACAAAATATAACATTTAAAGCCAACAATCAGAAATATAATGACAGTACGTCAATGTCAAGTAAGGTTGAATATCATCCCTATTTTATCTGTTGTGTACTAAATTCTACAGAGCAAATCTTTGTGCTTGAGTAGGATAGCGTATATAACTGTGGGACAATATCTCCTCAATGAGTTAATGTAAATTAGCTAGTATTAGAGTGTTATCTGCCCCTTTCAGTGTATATTATTTATACCCTTTCAGCGTTTATTTCTAATTGGTAGTATTTTGATCTAATAGTTACTCCGCTGACTATTTTATAGTTCTTCTATCTACATCTTATTGTTTAAGAAA